TGGTAACACTTGTTTAATAATGTGAAACGATAATGTCATATGCCATAATAACGGTGACTACATTCTTGAAATACCGCATTCCTATGTAATTTTTTCTGTTGCTTTCTATGAGTGTACTATCAATGGTATGTATCGTGGATCAAGCATAATTTTGCGATATTATTTGATTCATATTGATATTAATTTCGTACATCAGTATGAATTTGACAGACAATTTTGACAGTTAGCTTCCATTTCCATAACAAAACATTTATTAGGTATTTATACCATAGCCAAGAAATCCTTTCTTATTTCTTATAACGCAGAACGCAGTTCGAATTTCATAGAAAAGTGAATGTTTATTGTAAGATATATGAATTGATAGAAGGAGATAAAGAAAATAACATTGTTCCTATAACATTAAATCTTTTACATAAATAATACATAAGTTCTTTCACAATTTCAACTAGAAAATGTTAGAGCTTTACAGTACTCATCATTATACTAAATTATATATATTACTGGATCTGTTTATATATATTAATGGATTTGGATTCACGGTTTTAACTTGATATCAGTCCATGGTTTTAATTTGATATTTTCTAATTGAGTAAAATTCAATAAATTAAAGTTTAAATATATAGAAAATTAATTCAGTTAAATTTTATTCAATCCTCTCTTACTGTTACAACATAGATGTATTTAGGTGTATTTTAAATTCTATCAGTATTTTAATATTAAATTGATAAAATGTTTTTGCATCTTTTTATTCACTAATAATAATTACTATACAACTGCAATCAAAATTTAAAAGCAAATTAAGCAATATTTTGATAATATCTTCCAATTTTTGCTATTGGTCATGATAAAAACATAATTATTGATCATGGTCATCTTTAAAAACAAAGAATATTAAGCGAATTTAGTAATTTTTAGTTTTGAAATTTGAATTTCGCGCTTTCGACATTGTCACATTCGTTCAGTTCTTCATGGCGGATCCTCTTTGATGGCGGCCATTTTTATAGTGAATTTGACCAAATTTGACAGACGCGTGCAAATTAATTAATTTTTGTTTTTAATTAATTTCCTCGTTAGTTATCATTAATTGATGCATTATATTGTTCTACTAATTATGCATATCAATTTGAGATAAAACTCGTTTGTGATGATATGTTTTTAGAGCAGATATGTGACGATGTTCTTCAGCCTTAACTTATCTCTTTCAACATTTTTAATACTTATTATTTTTATAATCAAATACTTTATTTACAGCTTCCGATGTATCCTTTATATTATTATCATTTATATTATATGCATATCAATTTGAGATAAAACTCGTTTGTGATGATATGTTTTTAGTGCAGATATGTGACGATGTTCTTCAGCCTTAAATTATCTCTTTCAACATTTTTAATACTTATTTTTTTTATATTCAAATACTTTATTTACAGCTTCCGATGTATCCTTTATATTTATATTGCAATTGTCAAATATGTATAGATGTGTGTATTTGAGATTCGGAAGGCTGCAAGTACTTCTGTAATGTATCTGTCAAATTTTAGGTCGCCAATTCATTCAAAAAATTCTCTAATATGTTCGTTTCTTTTCGTCGTGTCGTGTGTTGAGTCACGAAGACTCCACTTGGACATTTGCAAATTATAAATTAAGTGTATAAAGACTGTGATCAAAGTAGTGTGGTGTAGTGGTTCACAAATGTTCAGCTTTGGGGCTTCCAGCAGATGCTTCAGAGGATTTATTTTGAGGAGGAGATTTGGAATTAATTCTCGTCAATGTGAGTCCAAGCAAACTTTATACACAACATGTCAATGAATACTTTTCTGAAATCATAAACAGGAATTCGTTGTACAACAAATAATGCACTGATAATGTTCTAAAACATATAACAAATAATTTCTTGTATTTGTAATTAAAACAGCCTGTATGTATTTCAGTGAATATTTGATGATATGTGCATCATTAATACTTTTGCATATGTATCTGCTAAATGTTTATTTATTTATTTAAAACAATTGTATAGATGTATATTATTGATACCGACGCTCATGTCTAAAGCTTAAATTTATTTCTTTTTTCTATTTCTATTTATATTACAGTTTATATATTAGTAAATTTATTTAATAAAGGTTTATATTTGGCATGATATTATGCTTAACTATATTTTATCATTTCATTTGCAATTCTAAAAACGAATAAAATACAATTTACTCTTTATTTATCTCAATTCCTACTTTAGCAGACATATGTGCAAAAATGCTGAATATCACTTGCAGGTTTGTGATACCTATCTGATATTAGACGCACTTTGTTAACTTCCTGTAGGGTAAGTTATTGTAACGGGCCAAAAATCGAAATTGAAAATTTTTACATTTCTCAACGTTTTGAAGGTTTCTGAACATTTTGGCATATCTCAGAAAAAATGGATGTGTGTGTGTGTGTGTGTGAGGGCGCACAGATCAACCGATTTGAATGATCCCAAAAACATTCAATTCGTAATGACGGGGAGAAGGGGTGATTTGGCAAAGGCAGGTCCAGCGGTTTCGGAGATACAGTGTTAAATGTGCAAAAAATGGCAGTTTTTGAGAGAACTAAGCGTCCGATTTGAATGATTCCAAAAACTTTCTGATTGTTTTAACAAAATAATTGATTTTGAAAAAAAAAATTTTTGTTATTTATTATTTTAATTCTGTTCTAATATACTTTAAACAAATAATTTCAACTTTCCAATTTAGTTTATATAATTCTTATAAATATTCGACAATGTTACAATATTTATCATAATCTATTTTAAAACATTTAATATTCCTCGATCATTTCGTTACGGTACGGACAGTTCTAGCAATTTGCCTTAAGGCACGATGCCATACACCTGACTAGTTTAATTGTTAAATTTGCAAGTGATATTCTATAAGCATAAAAATGATTTTATACAATTCACTATGGAGAAAACTTATTGATTCATTTTTGTTGTTCTAGCAAGTTATTTTTATACATTTTTAAATTAATATAATACAATAGTTTTTACTTCTCATATACATTGATTGACATTAATTTATCTTCATTATACTTGCATAAATAATAAATTGAAAGGAAATGTTTCTTCGAGTTCTTCTTGTAAAAGTAACGTGACTTGATTTCGTATCATTTATTTGTTGAGCCACTTTTCGAGTGCTGAGATATATTGTTGTTAATTTGCTACTCTAATGACAACTCTATCTTCAACGAATGTTTTGTCTGAATATCATTCGTGTATGGGATATACAGAAGGGGCCCTGGCATCCCTCCTTGTACAATTCCTAAATTAATGGTATTTCAGGTAGAACTCTAGTTGTGAAGAATCTGTCTATCAGATAACATTTCAACAACAAATATATTTCACATGGCAAAGGTTTTTATTATTCTATAAAGAAAATTCTATAAATTTCTTTTATTATTTTTAAATTTACAAAAAAAATTATTTTACAAGGCTTTGTGTTATTCTGTGGTAAGGAATTTTAGAATTACAGTTCTAGTACCAAGAATCATGCGTTTTCTCTGTAGTGATATTGACTGCATGTTCATTCTTATTAATGACAACACGATTGATGGCTTTGATCAAAATATTTAAGACTCAATTATGACTTTCCTAATAGTTATTGATTAAATGCAACTTTTAAAGACTCATTGTAATTTTGTTTCAAATTTATTTAATTATATTGCTACATTGCTAAATATAGATTTTTATTCTTTTATTTCTAAAGTCAATTTTGATCAAGACATGCAATCGGTGATGGTTCGATTAATTAATATGTTGAGAATTGAATTAAGAATTGCTCAACATGCTGATTATTTGTTTTGCCATATATAATTAGACTTTACTCAATACTGCATTAACTCAATAGATTTTTATATAAGTACAATGTTCGAATAACTTTGTTTTGAATTTTTTTTTAACTATTTATTTCATAATTGCTTTGGCTACTTTTTTAAAATATATTTTTTTGATATTTATAATTTTGTTCTGTCAAAGAGATTTTATTATTTGAGTTGATGTGGCTTGATTAAAGTTTTAAAGAGTTGATTTGAATAAAACAAAATTTAATTTTAATCACAAGTACATTATTTCATTCATTATTTAAAGTCTTTGTTTTTATTTGAATTCTAAAAAAATTTAAAATAAATAAATATATAAATAATTTTTAAAGTTTTCAGTCTATAATTTTTTAGCTTTTATTTTTAAAGTTTTGTTGAATTCAAATCAACTAAAATTGTTTTTGTCTTGAATAATTGTAAAGGTTTCACATGTTCAACAATTTTGATTCGATTAAGATAATTTCTTGGATTTGATTAACATCATATGATCTGTTAATTAAATAATTCTTTCGAATAATTATTTTAAAGTCAAAATTTTCTGAAACTTCTTCGATTTTATTAACATCAATCCAACTTTTAATTAAATAATCCTTTCGATTAATTTTATCAACGCAATATTTACTGAAACCTTTTCGATTATGAAAGACGAGTTATGTATGCATGCTATATCATCCCGAAGCCAACATTTGAATGAATGAGACCCACATTGAAAATTTCATGACGAGAAAATTTTATTGGGGCAGAGTTAAAAATTTTAACTAAGTCCCAGTAATTTTTTCTCGTTGTGAAAATTTCAACGTGGACTTGATTTCATTCGAGTGTTGGCTTTGGGAATTGGTGAGAGGGAACACTAAAAAACATAAAAAAGTTTCAACGCTGAACAGAAAAGAGAAAAATTCATCTGGGACTTAAGGGGTTTTTTTTAAGGTCCTCCACCTTCCCTTCTCCCTCCTCCTCCTCATTTTTCGTTTTTTTTCCTCTTTTTTCGCTTTTTTTTTTACATTTTTTTTCCTTTTTTGTGTTGTTTTTTTCGCGTGTTGTCGTTCTTGGGTAGATTTTCGGGTTTGGCATGGATCTTCCGCAATGTGTCCCTCTGCGTGTGACCTGTCGCATCATGAACCTCAGGTTGACCATCACTTTGTGTGCTCGTTTCAGGACCCACCGCGCCTGCCAACAGCCAGCCACCAGCACTGCTCCATTTTTTCTGCTTCAGAGTTGGTCGTCGTTGCCTGCAGTTGGACTCGATCCGTCTCACCTTGTGCCTCCAGAGCGACTTCACCGAGTATGCGGTCACTTAAACCACTCGGCTATTTGAGTTATTGATGATAATAGTTATTTTTATCCTCATATTGTATTAATATTGAATTTGAAAAAAATATGTATCATACACATCTCTCTTATTCATCATCTGCCTCTACCCCTCTCTTTCCCCAGTGCTTCTACCTTTTTTTTTTTTTCTCTTTATGTATTTCTCTTACAGTCAAGTGCGAAACTTGAGTTTTTTGTTTTTCAGAAATATACTAAGTGTCAAGGTCGAAATGCGACACCTGAATTTAATATTTTGAACTAATATTTGTTAACTATGAAAAACTACACATTCCATTTTTTGTGCCTCTTCTGGAATCGAACCGAGACACGCTGAGCAACCGTAGTGGTCAATTGGTCTTAACGATCTCGGCCAATTGGTTTCACAAAACCGTAGTCTTTTGTAAAAATATAAAGTGTTATTTTCAAACTGAAAGATATAAGTTTCCTAAAAATGTTGTATGCCAAATGCGCGAATGGCCGAGGTCGTAAAGCTACGGTTTAGGCCAGAATAACAATTCGAGGTTCGCCAGTTCGAACCTCATTTATATAAAAAAAAATTGAATTCAATAATTTTCCAACTGTGTAAATAAATAAGATATATTGATAAATAATTAAATTTATTGAGTGTCAGTATTACAAAAATCGACATAATATATATGCATATATATAAATAAGTATATATATATATATATATATATATATAAATACGCATGTATATATATATATATATATATATAAATATGTATAAAAGATAAGAAATAGTAGGAGGAAGATAATTTTTAATAAATTTATATTCACGCCTGGTTAGCAGTAAACCAAACCTACTTTGGTGTAAATTAAAAATCTTATTATTTTTTCCTTAAAAAACCGGTCTATCAGGGGCAGCCAAAATTGGCCAAAATCGTGACTTTCAAATGCAATTTTAAGGCCCTTAATGAATGAAATTGATAATTTTAATGAATGCATTGTGTAGACTAAAGTACAATCTTTATACCAAAGCAAAAAAATTATAAATTTATCACCGTCTTCATAGTTAAAATCATCTTCAAAGTTGGCAATTTTTCAAACTTCAAATTGGTAACAGGGGCAGAATTTTTTTTTCTTCCAAAAACTGATTTCATATTCGGAATCAGCGCCTCGAAAACTATCATAATCGGCCAAAACATTTTAAAAATCGCGAAAAAAATGTTTATTTCATTAGTAAAATTTTGATTTTGCAACCAAAGTTTTCCATTTTTTTCTTAGGTATGCAGATTTATCTAAAAACGGATAACATTTTTAAATTCATCGATTCCAAATCTATCAAAACCAATCAAAACATTTTGAAAATCGCGAAAAAACACTCGATTTTTGAAAAAAAAAAAGACTTTGCAACCAAAGACTTCGATTTTTCGCGGGGTGTACGTGAATTTATCCAAAAAGGGATAGCATTTTTGAAATCAGTGTTTTAAAATCTTTTGGAATCAGTCCAAACATTTTGAAAAGCGTGAAAAAACATCAATTTTTATGATAAAATTACGATATTGCAAACAAAGATTTCGTTGTTTTGCGGTGGTACACCTTCTGAAATCATGATAATATAGTCCTTTTCTTCAAAAAGACTTTCTCCAATTCGTTGTCTATCAAATTTCCTCTCCTATATGAAAGACCCAGGATTTAAGGCATTTTTCTAAAATATAAGCACATAAGAATAAAAATTTATCCTAAATAATTATCATGAATTATTTACATTTAAAATAAGAGTGTAAGTTTAAATGTATTTAAAAAAAAATCCGTCGTTTTAATTTGATATCATTTTCAAATTGAGTAAAATGAATTTAAAGAAACCATGAATAGTTTTAACTTGATATTTTCAATTTGAGTAAATTGTGTCTTTAAAAAAGCGGCCCATGATTTTAACTTGAGAAAAATGATTGTCCATGGCTTTAGCTTGGTATTTTATAACATATATTCTAATTGAAAATAAGCCCATCTCGGGAACTGCGGTGTAAAATGGAAATAGGAAAAACGCTCACACTACTTCTTCCCTAAATCTAGTTTGAGTTTAACTACCAATTATTTTATTATAAAGTTTAAAATACAACATTTAAAAAATAACAATTTTTTTTACACCGTTTAATGACGTTATAATTCCACATATAAAAATCACAATATCACGTAGTTATAAATTATAATACATTACATTTTAATTTTCGTGCGGCATTTTCCTTTTGCAACACAGCTCGAACTGCCTTTATGAAAACAATATCCACATTTGTATATTCAAGTGCTGAACATTCTACAAAATCACTTGATCGGATCTTTTTGTGCATTGCTTGACCTTCTTCAAATGTCACCAAACCATGGGAGTTAGAATTTCTCAAATCGATTTTAGTTGCTGCAAGAAATACAAGCGTTAATTTAACTGGTGGGAGTATACATAAAACTCTTTCACCTACCGATTAAGATTATTGGTGCTTTTGGTGAATAATGCCGAATTTCTGGATACCATTTTGAATGCACATGGTCGAAACTATCGCGACTACTAATTGAGTAACACAGCAGGAAACAATCAGTCTGTAATTTTGTAATACTGATTGTCATATCCAGTAGCGGCGCTAGGCGTCGGCGGTGTCGGCGGCCGCCGACGGCCTCGCGCCTGGGGGGGTTTCGCAAGAGGCCCCGGAAAAATTTTAATTATTTAAAATTTAGTTAATTTTCATACGGATGTGCGAGTAAAGAAGGTGATTAGTGGTTTACAGGCACTATCATTTTACTCTTTTATCTTTTATGGACATTATCTAACATCGTCTGTCAACACTATAGATTATTAAATCTAAATAACTTCGCGCAAGCTAATTCTCTGGTTGTTTATATTTGTGTATTTCTTATGTGAGCACTATGTAAATCATCGTTCTTTTTGGAAATACATACGAGTGGGAATCTTAACGTATCGAAACAGTAATTAAATATTCGAGGAATAAAAGTAATCAATGATCAATAAAAATTGATCAATGAGAAATAACAATGAGATAATAACAAAAACTGTTAATTTGAAACTAATCATTGTTTCACACCGTCAACACAAGCAATATATTTTTTTAAACATTCTATCGGGATGATCAGTAATTTCAAATAAAATTGATAACCTTTTAAACTTTTTTTGTATCTCCGAAACCGCTAAATTTGCCTTTGACAATTTATCAACACGAATCGAATGTTTTTTTAAATCCTTTAAATCGGTTGATCCGCTCTGATGTCGTCGACAAAAAATTAAAGCGTCTTAAAAAACGACATTTTCACATTTTTGAACCAATTTTAAAAATTCAAAAACTGATCGAAAGTTTTCAGTTGGCGATCGTGCTGAATTGTTTTTCGTCAAGATCGACCGCACAGTTTCTTCGTAATTTATTGTAAAAATATTTTTTCAAAAAAAACTTGTTAGTATCATCTAACATAAATTTTATGGAACTACGATAAATGATTAATTATAAAAAGTCATTAAATTTTAGAATAATGGGACGAGCTTTTAGACCATGTCTACCTACTATGTTCGGATTTGTGCACTAAAATTAGTATGAACATAGATTTTTTAAATCTAATTAATCACTTGCAGATTGCAAAATTTTATCTAATTAGTTATTAAGTCGGTGATTTCCAACCATTTTTTATTCATAATGATCGAAAAAACATAAAATTTGCTAATCAAATGGTTGGGCAAAAGGAAACTTTTTCGCGATAATTATTTAATTTTAGTGCTTTTCTAATAGCTGGAGAACAAACCATTTTTGCCGAAGAGTTTGTTTTAACTTGTGTAATTTTTGTCTATTTCAATTGGTGTATTTATCTGATTAAAAATAAATCTCATATACAGTTATAGTAATCGCAAAAAAATCTAAAAAAAAATTTTTATATATCTTCAAAGATTTCTGAACATTTTGGCAAATTTTCGTCGACGATTTCGCGACGAAACATGGGTCAACCAATTTGAAAAATTCAGAAAACATTTGACATGTGTTGAAGGTAAGAAGACGTGCTGATTAGGTTTTAACAAAGGCAGGATAAGCCGTTTTGAAGATACGGGACAAAAAGTGCCAAACTGATTACATATTTAGGAAGGCAGGTCTAGCGGTTTTGGAAATCCAGTAGAAAAGCACAACAAAAGCCATTTGGCATATGCACATCAAATTATCAGATATTTTATAAAGATTTTAATTAATAGTGAGTTATGTTAGACTGCAACGCGGCGTTTACGCGCTTCGATATTTTGTCTCTAAGCAGGTAACGCAACGTGATTGCTTTGAAAAAAAGTTCGAAATTTTCAACAAAATATTTCAAATTAAAAAAAGTCAATTTCTTTCACTTTTCAAATTTTTTCAAAGCTTTTCAAAAATTTAAATTACGGCACGAAAAGTTTCAGCAATTTGCCTTTAGGCACGATGCCATGTACCACTAGCAACTTGCAACTAGCAAAAAAGGGGGGCCTCGCAAACGAATTTCGCCGACGCCCACGAATGGTCTAGCGCCGCCACTGGTCATATCAATAATGTTTATATATACATATACATAAATATATATATATATATATATAATATATATATATAAATATATATATGAATATGCAATTTTTCTTCTAGCGCCACCATCCCCTCATTATTTTATCTGTTTTAACATTTTATGGTTAAAATTATAAGAATATTTACGTTATTTTTTTAAATACTTTTTAATAACTGTGGATTTAGTACACAAAAAATTAGATATATAATATAAAAGCCCTTTGATTTTAAATTTATTTAGAATATCGTGGCGATACGCGAATTCTTCATAATCACTACCAAACTACTTCTAAATTCTTATTTTTAATCTAAACTTTTTAGGACATCCAAACATTTCAGAATGTTTATTATTGCTTGAAATAATATTTTTTTAAAATTTTATTTATTTAGGAGATTTTATGCGATTTATTCTATTAAACAAATCATGGTGCTTTATGTTGGATTATTTTATTTTGATTTTTCCTTATTTAAAATATCCAAAATTGAATCTTAACTATTGCTCAAATATTAGTGAAAAATACAAAGAAATTATATGTTTCTTGAAAAAAAAACTATATTAAAAATTTCATTTCCGAATCTCGTTTTGGCGACCCCTAAGGCGTGCGCCCGCATTTTTTGCATGCATCGCATTCAAGGTAGGACCGGTCCTGTATATATATATATATATATATATATATATACATATAAGAAAAATGTAAGTAATATCGATAGATATGAATTTAACTATCTTTATCATTTATCATTTGCCATAATCTAGGAAAATTTTAATAGATTATTAATTAATATTAAGAGAAAATAAAAAATATTGTATATTCTTACATTTGGATAAGAAAGTGGCCGCAACCTATCATAATCCTCCTGACCTGATGTATCCCAAACGTTCAAAATGTGTGTGCATCCATCTACTAATATGTTAGCTGTGTAATTTTCAAAACTAAAATCAATATATAAATGAAAAACTTATAACAACGAAAGTCATTGTTAATATTCAGATTTTACTCACACTGTAGGTATATATTCACAAGGAAAAACTCCTTTAGTGTAAGTTATCAGTAAGCAGGTCTTCCCAATAACGCCGTCTCCAACTGCAGTAACTCTTATAGATTTCTTTCGTTCTTCTGCCATTTGTAATGGTAATGTATTCTCATGCAATTACTTAGATCAGTAATTGTGAAAATGTTACCCATAGAACTTTTTGTTCAGTAACATTGACATGTCAGTATGTAGAAAGACAAAATACTACATATCAAATGAATACAGAATTTATTTCGGACCATGTAATAAATTTTGAAAAATAGAATTATGATCAATTACATGCTTTAGATACGTTATCAGCATTTAACAGATATCTTTGATAAATATATACGGTTCTTTCGTTTTGTATCAGGCAGACTATAAAAGTCATTTTTAAATGATAAAATATTGGTGGTGTTTAGTATACTCTGGAAAAGGTATTTCAAATTATTACTTGTAAATTTTAAAATAAATAAATTATAATTATTGAATTAATCATATAATAATTGTTAATGAAATGAACGCAATTTAATCTACTTTTGCGTTAAAATGCAATAAAAATAAAATGGACATGATGTAAAGTATTGAGCAACAAATAAATTCTGAATTAAATAAAATTTATTTCATTTGTACAAGTGAAATCTTTCAGCCATTCCTACCATTAAATATAATATCAAGCATCTGATACAACCATTAAATGTAATTAAATTATTTATTGATAATCATATTAAATAATATTCATCGGATTTGTAATTAGTACTAACAATAAGATAAAAAAATAATACATGAAAATGAAAATAGGACAGCCTAATGATAATAGTCTAAACTCAGCTTAATTATTAAAACTCATTTCAAAATAGCGCATTTCTAGATGATTTTATTAAGTTTTCGGCAGTATATCAATTTTATTTATACTATAAAAGAAATAATTCATGCTAGAAATATTGACCAATGAATAATATAAAAAAATAATTGATAAATAAAAGAATTAATATTTAAAATCTTATCAATCAATGTTTATCTTAAATTATCAATGTTTTTCTACTTATTAAATATAAAGTGACGAAACAGTCGATAAAAATAAGCGGGTATAAGATTACGATGTGGCCGATTAAATTTCTTAAATTTAAATTATTTGGTATTAAAAGTCTGCAGAATAATGCAGCATTAAGGGGCACAACTAGTGTGAAATTTTCAAAAAATCGAATTTTCAATTTTTTCATATTTCAATATGGTTATACCTTTAAAAATAACATACCAAAATTTTAAATCGATATCTTAAATAGTTTTTGAGTTACAGCTACATTTATATATAGTATAGTATAACGATCCTTTATTCTTTAAACGCGTTTTTCTCGAAACAGCATGTTCCGAATTTGCTGCAGCGATTACTCAAAAACAAATAATCCGATCACTATCAATTTTTTTTACATGTTCAACATATAGTTCTTCGTAAAATAAACTATCGATTTTTTGATTGGATCAAAAATCGAATTTAGGCAGTCCAAAAACGACCAAATTTGGGTAAAATTCGACTTTTTTTAAAAAAAATGCTGTCATTTTGTCAACAGACAATATTATCTAGTTTAACGAGAATTTTTTTTTTAAATTTCAACCACGTATAGAAGGCCGGAATCACTGCAGCATTGAAGGGCCTTTTTTTGTCGCGCCGTTGGAGATCGACGATAACTTAAAAAATATCTAATTTTTTTCTTCAAAAATTTTACTACGTATTTTCAAAACATGTATAAATATATTCCTAAAATTTTGAAATGCTAGATAAAGTAATTTTTTTAATATAAATTCCCAAAAATCACCTTTTTTAGGCGCTTACACTAGTTGTGCACCTTAAACATAGAAATTAAGTAGAAAGTAAAAAATGTTCATCGACACGTATAAAAGAAATGCTAAAATTTATAATATATCATTCTCAAATCACAACAATTTGCAGTTTACTCTCCGTTTAGCCACTGGTTGGGCTGCAGCTCGCACTGCTTCCTCAAATACTGCGTCCAAATTAGTTTTCTCCATTGCCGAGCATTCAACTAATGCGTGGGCCCGAATTTTATTTCGCATTTTTTTACCTTCCTGGTGTGATACTAAACCACCAGGTTTAGTTCCGGGTTTTACTTCCCCAGCACCAGCGTCCGACGTTCGAAGATCAATTTTGGTCGCTGTGAAAAACAATTTATTATGATTCACTTGATGGTATTGTATAAACTTATTAAATTAAATATTTCCATAATATTTTCTTTCTATAAAATTAATGTTATCAATGAAAAGTATTACTCAACAATGGTTATTTAAATTATTATGATGCAAAATTTTTAAATAGGGCTTCTATAAAAGATTTCAGGTTAAAGCAAAAATGTTATGAAAAAATTCAGAATATTTAATAGAGAAACAAAAATTGGATTTGTTTTTAACTTACCAACTAATACGATAGGTACTCTAGGTGAGAAATGCCTGATTTCTGGATACCATTTTGTATGAACATTCTCAAAACTATCACGACTTCCAATTGAATAGCATAATAGAAAGCAATCCGTCTGTGAAAATATAATTTGTATTATAGATTATAATAATATTATTTTATCATTAATTATATAGAATTTATATAGAACTATAGTGTTACCTCGCTAACAATATATGAATTCTAATTAATCAATAATAATAATAATCGCTAGTTAATAATAATAATTAATAATAATATCATCATAAATATCAATCATACATATGGTTATGATTCGCAATTATTATTATAATAATATGGTAAGCTTACTTCAATATATATTAAAACTATTGGGGTGCATGGCATCGTGCCTTAAGGCAAATTGCTGAAACTTCCCCTACCGTAATTAAAAATCTTGATAAGAAGCCAAATCTCTGAAAAATATCTGATAATTTGATGTATATATGTCCAATAAATATTTTTGACCGTCAAATGACATTTTTTTAACTTATTCAGAGTCCATAACCGCTGGACCTGCCTTCCCAAAAATTTATTCAGTACTTTATCTTGTCAATACAAGTATAATGTTTTTTGAATTATTCAAATCGGACTCTCCGTTCTCTTAAAAACTCAGTTACCGTTTTTGGCACTTTTTGCCCCGTATCTTCGAAACGGCTAGACCTGTCTTCGCCAAAAACTAATCAGCACATCTCCTTAACAATACGAATCGAATGCTTTTTGAATTATTGAAATCGGTGGATCGGTGTTTCCGAAATCGTCGACGAAAATTTGTATCCGCACGCACACAAACACACATACATCCATTTTTTCTAAGGTATGCCAAAATATTAAGAAACTTTTGAAACGTAAAGATATATAAAAATTTTCATTCTCGATTTTTTTGCGATTACTAAAACTTACCCTACGGGAAGTTAAAAATTTGTAGTAATTAATTAAACAATTAGAATTTGTGCAGAATGAACAAAGTAGCACTATGTGATTATTACAGTAATTTAATATAAATTCCGGAGATAACTTGATTAATTAATACGTTAAAAAACATAATTTGGAAAACTTTAAAAATTCTAATTGTTTATGGTTTATAATCATCGTTATATGTTTTGAACCGATTTTTGACCAAAGGTAAACCAACAAACGCCAGCTCAAAGCCCTTAACTATAGTTAAATATAATAAATAAATAAATATAATATATTATATTTAATAACATTTTAATTCTTAATATTTCAAAGAAGTGATCAATTATAAATCTAGAAAAAATGATTTTTTTAATAATCCGATATCTAATGAAGATTATTTACATTAATAAATAGTAATTATCACATCATATTACTTTTTACTAATTTGTCATTTAAAAATATATCTGTTTAAATTAAAATTTTCAAAAAATAGTTACGTTGGGATAAGAAAGTGGCCTAAGTCTTTCATAGTCTTCCTGGCCCGCAGTATCCCAAAGAGTCATCCCATGATCACGTCCATCAACGGTTATATTGCCAGAATAATTATCAAATCTGAAATATTCACAACGATTAGCAATAATTAAGCAATCCCTTAGAATAAATATCAATTAGTTAAAATCAGAATTATACTATTTGTAATAAATTACAGTTATCATATGCTAATAGAAATGGTCAATATGCATTTTCACAATACTTACACTGTGGGTACATATTCTTCAGGGAAAACTCCCTTTGTGTAGGTAATTAATAAACAAGTTTTTCCAATATAACCATCGCCTACGGCGGTTATTTTGATGGGTTTTGCTGGCTTTTCAGTCATTTTCTATTTTTATTAAGCATCGGTCATGAGTTGGTATATCTTTTCATGTGTACTGAAATAGAAATAAATAGTTATAGGCAAATATTTCAAAATGATAGAGTAAAAAGCTATTCTGTAAGATTTTATTTTATAAATGCTTGGAAGCATTCTAATAAAAAATGAAAAAATACATTCAAATTTATTTATCCAAGCTGATCCTTGTCATAAATATATAGTTCATTTTGAATTTCATAATATATTATTTAATTTCAAGCATTTTCGATTTATTATTTTCATTATACTACTTTCAAAATTAAATTAATAACTTCCCGTAGGGCAAGTTATAGTAATCGCAAAAAAATCGAAAATGAAAATTTTTATATATCTTTACGTTTCAAAACCTTCTGAACAATTTGGCATACCTTAGAAAAAATGGATGTATGTGTGTGTGTGTATGTGTGTGTGTATGTGCGTGTATGTGTGTGTGTATATCTGCGTGTGTGTGTGTGTGCGGATACAAATTTTCGTCGACGATTTCGGGAACACGGAAAAAGGGATTTGAATAATTCAAAAAACATTTGATTCTTATTGATAAGAAGACGTGCTGATGAATTTTTGGCGAAGGCAAGCCTAGCAGTTCCGAATATATGGGTCAAAAAGTGCCAAAAACGGTAACTCAGTTTTTAAGAGAACGTAGCGTTCGATTTGAATAATTCAAAAAACATTTTACTTGTACTAACAAGATAAAGAACTGATCAAATTTTCATGAAGGCAGGTCTAGCGGTTTCGGAGATTTAGTAAAAAAAAAATGCCATTTGGCGGTCAAAAATGATCATTAGACATATGCACATCAAATTATCAGATATTTTATAGAGATTTTAACAATAAGTATAAATTTTGTTTACATTCCTATGGGTTCCGTACCAATGTTTATCCGTTAAACGGCGACGCGGCGCTTACGCGCTTCGATATTTCGTCTCTATGCAGTTAAAGCAGTACGATTGCTTTGAAAAAAGGTTCAGAATGTCCAAAATATTTCAAAATAAACTTTTCTTCAAAAAGTCTTTTTTTTTCAAAAAAGTAAATAAAATAATTTTTGGTACGGGAAATTCCAGCAATTTGCCTTAAGGCACGATGCCATGCGCCCCACTATAGTTTTGATTCATTATTTTTAATTTACTACATTCAAAATTAAAATCTATGTATGACATAGATATTCATTCATAAAATTCTGTACCATACAAATACCCAGCGGCGTCGGAACCAAATTTTTGATGGGTGGGCTCGTTTTTTTTTTGATAATGAGATAAAGAAACTTAAAATTGTAAAAACATAAAAAAATAAAAATATATCTGTGTTATTATTTTATTAATGCTTGATTATTTCTCAAGTAAAAGTGCACTTGCAACATAAGTTTCTAAGAACAAATACTTTTTTTTTATTTGTCCATGTTATCACATTTGCCTCGCGAGATAAGATTAAAGCAATTTGTAAAGTAAGTATAAAGTATTGCAAATCATTTTAATGCTGTTGGTAAGTGTAAAAAATTAGGAAAAACGCGAAAGAAAAACTATGGCAATAAATTATAAAAATATTACAGGTTGTGATTGAAAAAGATATATATTTGGGTGAAAAAATATGGGCATTTCGACGTTTGCTTTGAATAATTGTGAGCAACCTATTATAAAGCAGTAAAGATTTATTTGTATTGGGAAATACATATTTTTTACCAGCAATCAAAACTATTAGAAAATCTAATACTGGTGACTCTTTATTGGGTGCAGCAATGTCTGGTAAGGGTTATTTTTACTTGAAAACAATTTGCCTTCTATATTCTTAAAAATGTAGAACAAAATATGTTTTTACAATATTTAGGTGCTGTGCAAAAATGAATAAAAAAATCAGATAAAGTTTCATATCAATGAAGTACAAAGAATTTCGCATATAACACTTGAGTGATAGATTTGCAAGTAACTTATTTAGAAAATTGAAATATGCAATAAAAAAGTACAGATGTAATATGTAAGTAAAGCAAAATTTACAATATAAACGATTATTCCAGAATAATTTGCATGATAGTTGTTCATGTTAACTTAAATGTTAACTTAAATGGTTTTACTTTGGAATTTGTATTCAAAAATCTAATTAAATAATATATGATCACCATTATTTTAACCGTTGGGTTGCCATCTAAACTCTCTAAAAGGAGAAGTTCCAGCAGAACTCCTCATATGATGGAAATAGAGTCTCATAGGTGAATGTTTTTAAAAATGAGTAGGTAAAAAAACTTCATTTTTAATTTCACTTCTTAACATGGTAAATAAAGAAAACAATGGCAAAACTTGAGAACACAATGTATGATTAATGTACAAAAAGTATTGATAGCCTTGTGATAATTGTTTTCATATATTTGATTTTAAAAACAAGAACGAGAACAAATTTTGCTATAACCATGGTTTGGTATAATATATAATTTATATATAAATGTCTTAATGTAAGTCTTTTACATAAAATTTAGATTCATTTTTGTTATAATTGCTGTGATCTCTCATACCAGAACAATTGTCTGACTGAGATATAGTATGTACGAATTATATCAAATAAATAAAAAAAGTAATGGTTCTGCAAGCATTAACAAAAGACATTATTTATTAATTAATCAACGATTTGTCTAACAAATACTGCATAAGATATGTAAAACATGTGTGAACAATTTAAATAATTAGCAATAGACATTCAACTGGGTTACATTGTCGGCTTCAAATTTCGAAAACAAATAAAGTCTGGTCTAATTTCAAACAAGGTTAGATTGTCACATATTCCTGATTAGTCTCTGCTAAAACGAATACCAGTGAATCACGTTCCGATATATTGTTTGTGAAATTCGGGGTACACATATTGTGAATTGTATAAATAATTGTATTGGAACGTCAAAACAGTGAGATTATAAACTGATTGATTTTATCGATTACCACCTAAAGTTTTCTCTAATATTTAAAATAATCCAAATAAACTAGTGGTATATGGCATCGTGCCTTAAAGCAAATTGCTGGAACTTCCCGTACCGTAACTAAATATTCGAGAAATATATTAAATGTTTTTAAATAGATTATAATAAATACTGTAATATTGTCTAATATTTATAAGAATGATATAAACTGAATTGCAAAATAAAAATTATTTATTTAAAGTATCATTAATAATTAATATTATTTATTTATCAGTGAACTTTAGAACTTTAGCCAGTGTTAAAATTAGAATTGTTTTCGATATTCGAAAAAAAATTTTTTTGAAAAAAAAAATTAGAATTAAAAAAAATTCTTCAAAAGCAAATGTATTGTAAACACAAACAGAAAGTTTTTTGAATCATTCAAATCGGATGCTTTGTTCTCTGAAAAACTGCAATCTTTTGCACATTTAGCTCGGTATCTCCAAAACGGCTGGACCTGTCTTTGCTAAAAACTAATCACCACTTCTCGCCGTCATTACGAATTGAAGGTTTTCTGGATCATTCAAATCGGATGCTCCGTTATGTCAAATACTCGAGTTCTATTTTCTGCACTCTTTGCTCCGTATTTCCGAAACGGCTGGATCTGCCTTTTCCAAAAACTAGCCATCACATCTCCCTATCAATAGAAATCGAATATTTTTGAACCATTCAAATCGGTTGATCCGTGCGCCCGAAAACGTGGACGAAAAATTGTATCCACACACACATACACAAACACATCAATTTTTTTACATATGCCAAAATGTTCAGACACCTTCAAAACGTGAAGATATGAAATAATTTTCATTTTCGATTTTTGGACCATTAATATAACTTACCATACGGAAAATCTTGAAAGAGAATATTTATCCAAATATCTCCTAAAATTTCAATTTTTACAATGAATTCTAAATATACAAATCGAAATTATAACTTTGAGTATTAATATATAAGAAAAATATAATGAATATTAAAAATAATATTTCTATAAAATATTGACATATTTTTTATAAACTTTTTTTATGATACACATTTTTTATGAACTACTATGTACATATTCCAGAAACTGTTGTGATTTATTTCCTTTGGATCGTTATTATTATAGATACAAATTATGGTAAAAACTAATATAACAACTGCTTGATATCAGGTTCTCAAAAGTGAAAATGGAGAAATATTCAAATTTTTTAGAGTGATTTTAAAATAATTTGTTTGAACAAAAAGATCTCGAAATCAATATTTTCTGTATAGCCCCGTACTAGCAGTGCACTTAATATAATAAAAGCTCGTTTTTTGTATATGATAAAGTTCTTGGAGTTTTGCATTTTTGCAATTTTGCAAATAAATTGGAAATTTTTCTTATAATAGAGATTATAATTATTATTTGTTTCTCACAATTTTTTTCAATACGAGGTTACATGCTTTAAGTTAGTTTTTCTACAAACATTATATAAACTATGTCTACTTCTTATAAACGGATTTCTTGATCGACATATGTTGTTAACATGTAAAAATATTTTTTTCATTTAACTTAATTCTGTTCTCAATCAACAAAATAAAGCTTACTACTACATCTTTATTTTTGACTCAACAATAATCATAATAATTATTACATGTTTTCTTTTAATAAATAGTAGATTTCAATTTAATCTAAAAAGATAAAAAAACTTAATTCATAAGTAAATGAAAAATGAATGCATTTTGATCAGGTATTAGAAGGCGTCCATTAATCACGTGAGCGAGTTTTTAAGGATTTTTGGACCCCCCTCCCTTGGTGATACATGGTGATATTCAAAATTACCCCCCCTCCCCCACCAAACATCACGTGTATTTTTAGTTATGTGATAAATCTGTAAAATTTTTGATTTTTTTTGAAAATGTTTGATTTTTTTTAAAAAATAGTTCAAAAATAAATACACGTGATATCTTACTATACTTCTCCCTCCCCCACGTGATTTTTTGTCGTGATTTTTTGTCAACCCTCCCCCCTTCACCAAAAAACCTCACGTGATTAATGGACACCCCTTTAATAGTATATTAGTAAATGCACCA